GCTTGAGCCACAGGCGCCGAGCCCATACATTGCTATCTTGAGGACTCCAGGTTTCAGAGTTCCTAGGGAGCAATGGAGCTGCAGCAATCCCACTCCCACCAGATTCCGCTTCCCCACCTGGGCTACGCTGGCCCTCCTTGTGGACCACCTCCCTTTCCTTGAGTAAAACTTAGCAGTCCTTCTTTCTTAAAACATACCTTGTCATTAATCCAGTCCATCACATCTGCACATTCTCGTAAATACTGTACCAGCTTCTGGGCCTGTAGCAGTTTGATGCCTTTCTCCCGCATCTTTTCCAAAAGTAACTCCCACTGGCGGTGCAGCTCCATCAAACGAGTCTGGAGGTTAAAAGTCAGATTTTTAATTAGATCACAACTGGCTCTGTGGGATCTGGCTCTTCCATAGACTTCTGACAAGTTCGAGACCTCACAGAGCTCTGAATAAAAATCTTTCAAAATCCCTAAACTAAATGAAATGGTAAGTTTAACTGAGAGTAGAAAAAAGTACACACTTCACGGTGGTTTGCTAGGTCTGAAAATTAAAATGACCTTTCATAGGTGGATTTATTCTAGTTTATATCAGGAAAATTATGAGTGTGTTTATTAATCATATAATTAATATTGATAATCATATAATTACTATAATTTATTAAATCATTTATGATTTAATAAATGATTATCAATTATTCAATTATGAGAGTACGATTCCTAGGCAAGATGAGGAACTAATAAAGAAACTGAGCAGAAATTGCTGAAGGGTGTACTCTGAACACATGGAGGGAAGGGAAAAACAAAGGAAGAGGTCCTACAGTTATCATATTAATAAATGTATAAGGCACAAGATGGGGTCTTGAAAAGTAATCAGCTCTCAAAATGGATTCTTGGCAGAAAAAGTTTTGGAGCCATGAAAAGATAGTTTATGGAACAATGTATCCCAAGTCAAGTTTATTTCAAAATTCACCCAAATGGCAGCCACAGAGCCAAACATACACTTCCCAGCATCTTTGGGTTCTCCCAGCACAGGCCCAGTAAGGACCTACCCAAGAAATGGGGGAAATTGATAATCAATTCAAATTGATAATCAATTCAAGATGCATTCCCGTGTTCCAATTCAAACTCAGTGCCTTGATTATGCCTACCCAAGATACTGGGAGTTTCTGTATAACACTAACAGAGTTGAGTAAAACAAACAAAAAGGTTTAAACACTACCACAAAAGAAGTTTAGGATCCACCCATCATTGAGATGCCACTCCTGGCAAAATACAAACTTGAAAGCCAAGAGACAGTCAACATGGGTGGATTCTCTTAGAAACAAGTGTGGATGTTTCATGTGAATGGGGTAGGGGTGTGATAAATACGCACACAATTCACTTCTATCACCGAGAAAGAAGTGAAAGGCATTCCAAGGGGAGGAGAAAAAGGCAACCAACATCAAGTCATACTCCACCTACTCGGATGTGGGACCCAATGTGGGTGGCGGTGACTATGGGGCGCCACGCTGTCCGGTACGGTGTAAAAGTCTAAACCAGTGACAGACAGGTTATCCAGGACACAGACATAGCCTTCACATGCCACCCACTTTCCTCTGTGCTACTGCTGCCTACCAAACTAAGGTACTAAGGTATGGGACCAAATATTTTACCAAGCCAGACTCACCATGGGATCAGGAAAGTAAAGATAATTTGGACCACAGGAAAGACTAAAAAAAAGGGAAAAAATAACAATAGGCCAGGTGAAGTGGCTCAGGCCTGTAATCCTCACACTCTGGGAGGCTGAGGTGAGTGGATTGTTTGAGCTCAGGAGTTTTAGACCAGCCTGAGCAAGAGCAAGACTTTGTCTCTACTAAAAATAGAAAAACTAGTCGGGCATAGTAGCACAGGCCCATAGTCCTAGCTACTTGAGAGGCTGAGGTAAGAGGGTTGCTCAAACCTAAGAGTTTAAGGTTGCTGTGAGTTATGATACCACAGCACTCTATCTAAGGCAACAGAGTAAGACTGTCTCAAAAAAATATATAATAATAATAATAAAAATTAAAAGTACACTGGAGGCCAAAGTGGGTGGATTGCCTGAGCTCACAGGTTTGAAACCAGCCTGAGCAAGAACAAGACCTGGTTTTTAAAAATAGCTGGGCATTGTGGTGGGTGCCTATTGTCCCAGCTACTCAGGAGGCTGAGGCAAGAGAATTGCTCTAGCCCAAGAGTTTGAGGTTGCTGTGAGCTATAACACTAGGGAACGTGGCTCGGC